TTAAAAGAAATTTAAAACTTCAATGAAGGGTTGGAATATAAAGCCAAGGAAATCTGGGAGCAAGGTTCATGGGAACAAAAGGGAGCTGGTAAACATCTGATGTCTCTGAATGTTGGAACAATCTTGATAAACTGAAAAATGTATTGGAACATTTAAGAAAAACTGGAAGTAGAAATACAGAAAACTAAGCAAGGAAGCAAACAACATCCCTAAAAGGGGCATCAGTACACAGAAGAGAGCAAAAGAATGTTGTGAAGAAAGGAAACATTTTCACAGAACACTACTTGGTTTAAAGCACTCATAACAGGTAAAAGTTATTGATTTAACTAAAATAGTGCAATAACTACATTGGAAGAAAGAGGCAGAAAAAGGAGATAATTAAATTAGAAGATGATAAAACCTTTGTAATCAATAGATAAATGGATGGTTCATGAGAAAAGTAGAAAAAATAAATTATCTAAAAATATGGTGATACTTCATAGTCGGTGTAGAAGCCTGACCACCGCACTGTATTTCTGAAGCTGATGTTGAATAATAATGTATGTCAACTATAATTATATATACATATAGGCACGGGATGTGGAGTAGAGTGTGGGAATGGAGTCAATGGAATTGTAATAGATAAGTATGATATTGGGGGTAGGAGGGCAGTAGATGGGGGAGGGGGGTTGTTCCTGTGCAAAGGGTGAAAAGGATAATTATTGCATCATTCTGTACACCTGAAACTAATAATAAAAACAATTTAAAAAATTAAAATATTGTGATAGATGCAGGGAAAATCTGCTCGAAGAGGTGACAGTGGTCCTCTGGGACAAGGGAAAAGGAATTGTGGGTCTGCTTAGTACACAAATTTGTTAAACGTATACTATGTTAAACTTCATTTTAAAGATAAATAAAGTTGTAGGTCAAGAAATAGTTGCACTTGTAATGTGGTTTATAATTTATAGAATTATGTACAAAAATTAAAAGTATTGGGATGGCCAAGCAATACATTGGTTAGGAGTTGGCTTGGAACACCAGCTCTGAACAGCGGGGCCCTGGTTCGGATCCCACATGAGGGCCAGTGACACTTCACCCTCTACAGCTAAGATGGTGAACAACAGCTTCACCTGGAGCTGGGTTGCTGTGATTCACCGGTGATGGCGTAGGCTGCAGTGGGACTTGCTGGCAGCGGGCTAGAGCTTTTGTGAGCTGCTGCAAGGCGTTGTGAGCAGCCGATCAATTTCCAGCGAGTAACTGCCTCTCCCAGGAATAGCGCAATGATAATACCAACATGGGCCAGTGAAGCGACATCCTCCACAACTAGACTGGAGAACAAAAGGACAGCAACTTGTCTTTTTCACTTCCCTGATTCCCCAATAAAATCTTAAAAGCAAAAAAAAATAAAATTATAAATGTTAAATTTAAACTTAAAATAGAAATGGAGAAATGGAAAATGTAATGAAGTTGAACTATGTAAACCCTCCTTTATCTTTTCAATATTTGTTTGCATATACATGTATTTATTTTAGATAATTTTTGAAAGGCATTTAAATAGAAGAATCAGTTAAAGGATAGAGGAAAAATTTATGTCAGTGTGAAAATAAGTCTCTGTAATGCTCCTTTATATTCATAGAGAATGGTAAGGAAGAAAACATGGAGGGTTGACATTTAAAAGTCTCAACTGTTTCTTCTATACAACTAGAGAATGAGGCTCGAGGTAGATAATTCTTCATCTGAGCACATTATAATACGAAAATATAAGCATACTTAGCTTTTCGATTCTAACCCATTAATACAATGGTGTGGAAGTTGACTTTCTAGTTAGCGAAAATCTTAATTTCATTTAGGAAAATGGGAAAAATTTGTTCCTTCCCAACTGATCCCAATATCCAAACCAATTTCTCTATATCAATAAAATATTCTTAAACACAGCTACAGAAATCTAGCAAGGATTTCTATGTTTGCTAATCAGTGAACTCGTTAGTGTGTATAATGGCATGCAGTATGCCCTGATACTCTACTGTATCAAACACAAATTAGGTTTTTATCCTATTCTACACACAACATGTGCTATAGTAAAAAAATAAAATAATGTGATATAAATATTAAATTATTTAAGTGATAATAAAATAGAAAAGTAATTCAACTAGCACATAACAAAATAAAATAAATAAGGTCATGTGTTTAAAATTATTTCTTAATAAAAGACACATTTCTGAGTGAGGTTTCTTGGCAAGGAAGGGGTATAGTCACTCTTGCTGGCAGGTGAGAGTGAATGAGATTTAGTAAGAGGCAGAGAGTGAAATAGCAATTGCCAGATATTTATCCACATCTAACCCCAAAGTACTGGTCAGCTTCCTCTCCTTCAGTCCCTGCTGCTGTTGGTAGTAGACCGAGAGAACAATTACAGAAAGACACAGACATAAACAAAATGGACATTTGTTTGGATTTCCTTTTCTTACAATTATACAGCTCCTGCTAACACAAGATATTCTGGCAATTCAATATTTTTTTTAAAAATGATATATCAAGGCTGGCTGAGTGGCACGTTGGTTAACAGCTGGCTTCGGACGCCAGAGGGCCTCGGTTTGGATCCCACATATGAAGGCCAGTGACACTGCCCTCTACAGCTAAGATGCTGAACAACAGCTCAACCTGGAGCTGGGCTGCCTTGAGTCGCTGGCTACAGCTCAGGCTGCAACCCCTGCTGCAGTGGGTTGCCATGGGCTACTGTGTGTAGCCAGCAGCCAGCGAGAGCGGCCAGCAGCCGCAGTGAGCGGCCATCCAGAAGCTGTTGACTGATCTGCCTCAACCAGAAAGAGCGCAATGATGGTGCCAACTTGGGCCAGTGAAGCAACGTCCTCCACAACTAGACTGAAGAACAAAAAGGACAGCAACTTGTCAGTTCCTTTTCCCCCAATTCCCCAGCGCTGTTCCATCCCCCAATTCCCCAATAAAAACCTTAAAAATAAATAAATAAATAAACAAAAATTATATATCACCCCCACTTCATAAGGCAATAGTAGCTATTTTTGCATATGTTTAAAATTTACTGAAGATTTTTATGTAAAATATCCAGACTCCTTTTATTCCTCTTACTCAAACCCTCAATGAGTAGCAGGTTGAACAAGTTCCCCTTGTAAATTCTTCTCATATGTCTTTTCTAAGCCTTTGTGGATCACCCACATTCGTACAGCATCTTCCAGTTTCTTAAGTTATATTTTTGGTAAATACTGCGAAGGTGGTAGTTATAATATATAATATAATATAATATAAAATATGATAATAATATAATATAATAATATAATATATAATTTAAGCAACGAGAGCAGATGATGATGTAATTCTATTCGTAGAATGTCTCAGGAGTCCCCGGGGCTGACGTTACATCTTCATACTCCGACCAGAAAAAGGAGAATCAACATTTGTTACAGTGGTTTGTTGACTTCTTGGTGAATTTTAGTTGCTTTGTAGGCAGTGTTAGCAAATATTTGCTGTGTGAGAATTCAGATAACAAGGGATGCCAGAAGAGGTGCAGAACCCAGTGAGAGAGAAAACTAAACAGCTCACTCTGCAAAAAAATGAAGGGAATTCAGTTCAGGGAAACAAAAGCAAACTTTTGCAGGAGTCTGATAGAGGGAAATGAGAGATTTGCGTAGGAAAAGGGTGATAGATTAAAACAGCAGTTTGACAGAGAACCACAGAGAAGAGGCAACTGAAGAAGAGGCCCTCTGGGCTCTGTCCATGTTTTACCCTGGAGGTTACTGTAAAGAAGCCCACAGTGCCATTCGCTGCCCATGTCTCTGTGTCTGATAGTGATCCCAGTTCTGAGGAGCCTGCCCAGCAAGGCCGGACTGTGGGTCAGTTGTGTTTGGGAGTCGATGCTGCCAGAGCAAGTCTTCACCAATGAGAAGAGGGAATTTGTGGATAATACCCCAGGACCTCATACTTGGTAAAAACAACTCGGAGTTGTGTTCCACGTGCTCTCAAAAGGTGGTCAGCATAATGGAGCTTCTGTCAGCAACAGCAATGATCTCCTCAATAATGCTCCCTCTTGAAACTGTCCTCCCTCCCCCATCTTCCTACCCACTCAGTCACAGAGCCTTCTGGGACCACCTCCCAAGGAAATTAGTTACCCACAAATCCTTGTCTCAGGGGAAACCCCAAACAAACACCAAGCAAAAGGAAATCCTAGCAACAGGAGCAGGTAATGGTTTTAAGACCATGGATAGATACCGTCCATGTTAAGCAGGTTTCTCTAATAGTTCAAGCCCCTCTGCGGCGTCTATAATTCAGTGAAACCCTGCTGTACACCGTACCTGATTGCACTATATTTGGGGTAATTCAACACTAGAAGGCAACATTCCCCATAGAGTTCCATGTACAAAGAGAGATGAGACAACCAAAGGATCTGAGATAAGAATGAGAGAGCAATTTCAGAGGAAGCAAAGTTGGAGGAAGTGGTGAGTAGTAGGAATAAAATTCCAGAATACCGTGAGATATAAAAGTGATTGATAATGTGGTTTCTCCTCGTGTGTGGGATAGTTGCTCAAGCCTTTTAAGGAAAATGAGGACCCGATTAGATAAAGGGCATGGGAATGCACAGGTGGCTCCCACATGGGCTTCACATTCATCCACCTTTCAAAGTTTGTTCTCTGAGGATGGAATAAGTGGGTCAGACACAAACATGAATCCTCTTGGTGTAAGGCAAAAGTCAAGAGGTAGCCTTGATGTGGCAGAGACCAAGTCTACGGGAGCCTATTAAAGGGCATAACTCTCTTCAAACAGGGGAGGATGGACAAGGGTTTTGGGGTGTGTTGACACATAATCTAAATACTGAGGACCTGAGTGATTTGCACATGTGGAACTGTGGAGTAAACGCAATCCAGGGAAATGTATTGTTGTGCATCCAAGTCCATATCTGAGGCCCAATATAATAAAACAAATGCATTATCTTTATGTAATGGGCTTGATTAGAGACATCATTTCACAGAATCCTAATGACCACAAAGACAAAATCAGGTTTGATACATAAGTTTTTTACTTGAAAAATACATTACACATCCAAAAGCAAAATTCTGAGCTACAAGAAGATCTATGATTCTATAATCTCAAAGCACTAAACATTAGTAAATTATCCTTTGTAGATATCTATTATAATGAGTTTGGGGCCAAAGAGATGGTAGAGTTGCTAAGCTGAAGTGATCTGTGTTGAACTGAAGGCAGCAACGCACGTTTTCCTCCATCTTTGAGAAAAATAGGGATAGCTCAAGTGGGTTTTCTCGCTTCATCTCTCTCTCGTTCCAGGCGTTCAATCTCCAAGGACAACTTATACACCTCCAGAGCCATTTTCACATCTGCCACATTTGGGAGACACTTCATGATGCTTATGCCTGCTAGAACGCGCTCACAGCCTGCAGGGACCTCCTGAAAGGGATAGAGGTGGTAAGAGGCTTCCCTCCAGGTCATGAGGAGAGTAAATAATGACAATAGCAGAACAACAGGGTCAGGTCCAAGGCCAACCTCAGGACTAATGGGTGAGCAGGGAAACCAGAAAACACCTCGGATCCCACCATAGTCTTCCCCAGAAGGATATAGATCTGTTCTGAGACAGCTTCCCAGAAAGTCTTTTTGGGGACAGAGGCTATTTCTGCTAACCATCCAGAAATGGAACACAGTATATTACATGAGCTAGAAAGGAAAGTTAAGGGTCAGTACTTCCAGGTCTATGAGAACCGCATCTCCCTAAAGGAGCTCGGTTTTGCCTGTTCTCAAGTGAGAGCATGAAAACTTGCCACCCTAATTGACAAGAGGGCCTCAAGGCAAAAAGAAAAAGAGAGAGTTCCTTTGAATGAATCCTGACAAGTCAGAACTCACCCTTGCTGCCTGGGACAGAGCTTTGGGGCAGCACCCTTTATAGGGTTGGATAGCACAGGAACTTCCTTCAATTGTGCCACTTACCCACTCACACTTGGGCACCTCTGGGTACCAGGTCCTGTCATCTGAGCAGGTGATATTTGGGGAACCGACCACACCATAGCCAGAGTCACACTGGATGGTGAAATTTTCAGATTCATTATACTGTTGCTTGTCCACAGACAGCTTTCCATGTTCTATCTCTGGTTTCAGACACAAAGCTACAATGAAAGCACAGTGTTAAGCAACCAGCAATACTTAGGAATAAATTGAACCAAAGAGGTAAAATACCTGTACTCAAAAAATTATAAACACTAAAGATAGAAATCAAAGAAGATACAAATAAATGGAAAGACATACCATGTTCACGGATAGGAAGAATTAATATAGCTGAAATGTCAATACTACCTAAGGCAGCGGTTCTCAACCTTCCTAATACTATGATCCCTTAATACAGTTCCTCATGTTGTGGTGACCCCCAACCATAAAATTATTTTCGTTGCTACTCTATAACTGTAATTTTGCTACTGTTATGANCCTTGTGACTTTACTGTAGGCTTCAAGATTTCTCTTCCCCCATGTTTATGTCATTAACAGTCAAGGGAGGGCAGTGATACAAGAACAGTAAAAGGACGGTTGAAGAGTGAAGTAAAAAATTGTTCTCCTTTCTCCACAGCTCAAAGCTGAGTTGGTAACGAGGGCAGATGAAGGCCAGCCACATCCACTCTGTGGTAAGGAGATTATCTTTTTACCTCAACCTCACAAGGCCACAACCTGAGTGCTATCCACAGAGGAGGACAGTATATGGCCAGGACCCCGGCCTGCATGGGCTCTGGAATCACAGCTAGGTCATGGAAATTAACCTCACAGAGGGTTATCTGATCATAAATCCTGTTTCTACCATAGGGGAACTGTGTGCCTATGGGCAAGATACTGAGCCCCTCTTAGGCCCAATCTCCTTTTTTATAAGATAAAAATGACAACCGCACATATCTCTCAGAATTGTTGAGAGAATTATACACCAATAGTCTCTGTAAAGGCCTTGGCATGGGGCCTGAAACATGGTGAACATTAAAAATATTTAAGTATGAGGTGTGAGCAAACAGTATGGTGAATGCTTCAATTAAATCACCCTCAAAATACTCCCCCTGGTGTGAACAAACCGTATGGTACATGGTCCCATTAATCACCCTCAAAATACTCCCCCTGGCTTTGAATACACCTATCCCATTGTTCTTGTCACTTTCTGAAGCAGTTCTGGAAGCCCTCTTTCATGAGTGGTTTAGTTGCGCTGTCATGGCTGCTTCGATGTCCTAAATCATTGTTTTTTTAATTGGGGAACTGGGGAAGGAGAACAGCATTGGGGAATTGGGGAGGGGGACCAGCCAAGTCTTGTTCTTCAGTCTTAGTTGTGGAGGGCGCCAGGCGCCATCTGGCTGCCTGTCAGCAGCTCGTGACCTCCAAGCTCAAGGTGCTGTGTTACAATCTTAGTTGTGGGAGGGCGTAGCCACCATCCATGGGAGTCGAACCAGTAGCCTTGTTGTTAAGAGTGCACGTTCTATCCAATGAGCCTTCCAGGTGGCAGCTCAACTCAAGATGCTGAGTTCAGTGTTAGTTGTGGATGGGCGTAGCCCACCATCAAGTAGGCACTCTTGTTGTTAGGAGCATGTTCTCTCACCAGCTGAGCCATCCTGCCACCTGTTGGCAGCTCAGCAGCAGCTCAGCTCAGGCACAGCATCACTGGCCCATGTGGGAATCGAATTGGCGGCCCTGTTGCTCAGAGCTCATGCTCTTAAGCTAAATCAACCAACTAAGCCACTCGGCCAACCCCTCCTAAATCATTTTGACTTTGGGGAACAGCCAGAAGTCACACAGGGGCCGATACATTGAATAAGGTGGATGAGGACACACCGTAATTGTTTTATTTGACAGAAATTGATATATACCAGAAGCGATGTGTGACACGGAGCGTTGTCATGATGAACGATGATGGCATACTTTAAAACACAGCTTCTTTCAATTGTAACTCACACCCAACTGACTGCACAGAACAAGCTGAAACTTGTCATAGTTCCTAAGGTTCGATGCGCTGCTTCCCATATTGAAGATCCCTGCCTTTTCTTTGGATGGCACACGGCAGCAGCACTCACTATATTTTTGACAACGGTAAGACTGTGTCGCACATACCGCTTCTGGTATGACAATTTCTGTCAAATAAAACCATTACAGCGTGTCCTCATCCATCTTATTCACTGGATCTGGTACCATGCGACTTCTGGCTCTTCTGCAAAGTCAAAATGAGCACGAAAGGTAAACATTTTCAATTGAATTGGAACATCGAGACAGCCACCACAGCGCAACTGAAGACACTCACGAAAGAAGACTTACAGAACTGTTTCAGAAAGTGGCAAGAATGATGGGATAAGTGTATTTAAAGCCACGGGTTATATTTTGAGGGGATTAATAGCAATGTGTTTCTTACTGTGATTTTTTTTTAATTTAAACATTCACTGTATAGTTTGATCATACCTTGTCATATGTATATAATATATATACATACATATTATATATCTATATGAGCAATTGTTAACCTTAGGGAAGAGAATAATAGAATTTAAATTAGCATGTGACACCGATAAAAGCTGAACTTCTAGGAGTCAAAATATCATCATAATAACTATGTAAAATTATTATGATGGACAGCTGCTTCACCAANAACAGGGGGCTTCTATGGAAAGTAACCTCACAGGGTGATCTGATCATAAATTCCTAACTGGGCAGGTCATGGTGGGTAGTCACGCCCACAACTTCTTTACTGAAAGGCTTAGCTTTGCCTTAAGCAAGCCCTGTCCATTGTTTCTGTGCACATAGGTTAACACACTTTTGAAATGTCCCCTTTCAGACTCTTCCTTCTAATACCTGGTCACCCTTTTAGACCCCTCAAAAGAGCACGTACTCTTCACTACCCTGTAATCTAATTTCCATGTGGCCACCCCAAGAGAGCACAAAATCTTAACTATCCTATAATCTGACCCCTGATTTGCTTTCTCCTACCTTCATATAATGTTCCCTCCTTAATCTCAAATGCATAAAAAGAAACTGCAAGCTATTATTCTCTGAAGCATTTTTCTCAGCCTACTGAGATCTTGCTTCCAGGTATATCCTCTGTTTGGCTCAAATAAACTTTTCATAAAAATTCTCTACAGATTTGGACATTCTTTCATCAACAAGTTAAAAGTTCTTAGAGTAAAAAGTGCATCCTTGAGAATTATCAGTCCTTCCTCCTTAGCCCTAGCATTGGTCCAGGATGGTTATCATTCAGGTGCCAGGCAGTCAGGATGATGAATGCCAGGTGGTCTGGACGATGGGTGCTAGGAAGTCAGATCACATCCCAGTGGTCTGGATAATGGACGTCAGGTGAATGTATATGTGAGTCCTTCAGGGGGTAATCAGGTGGCCTGGATACACGGGTCTTTTGGGGATAGTTAATTAGAAGATTACCTGAAGGTCTAGATGTATAGCCAGGCATTGACACAGGACTGGGAAGTTCAAAAAAAGTTTCAGTTTCAGGTTAGTTAAAAAAAAAGTGAAGTCTTTTTCCATGCCTCAACCTTCATAATGGTAATAATTTTAGCAGCTTGGTTAAAATGACTCCATTTTATATATTCCCTATCTTACTCTTTCCTCATCTTGAATATATTCTGAAATTTCCACTTTCCTACCTCCTTACTCTTGCCCATATCATCTGCCCACTTGCCCTTACTCAAATCTTACTCATTTTCCGGACACATCTCTCACACTGCTCCTGTCCTCCAGGCCAGTCTCCACATTCCAATTCCAACTTAGTGTTTATAAGCATATTCCAGAGGAGGAAAATGGCAGCGGTGAGGAGGGCTCCCTGAGCTCTCCCTTGGAAATCAGCCATTTGAACAGCTGTAACTCATCAAGGGAACCTCTACTCATCTCAGAGAACAAACAGCTAAGAGACTCACATGATGATGGCCTGAAGGCAATCCTGAGAAATAAGAACAAAGTCGGAGGAATCACGCTACCTGACATCAAATCATATTACAAGGCTACAGTAATCAAAACACTGTGGTACTGGCATAAAAGCAGGCACATAGATCAATGGAACAGAATAGAGAGGCCAGAAATAAATCCACTCATATACGGTCAATTAATCTATGACAACAGAAGCAAGAATTTACATTGGAGTAAAGTCTATTCAATAAATGGTGCAGGGAAAATTGGACTGACACATGCAAAAAAATGAAATTGGACCACCTCCTTACACCATATACAAGAACAAATTCAAAATGGATTAAAGACTTACATGTAAGACCTGAAACGATAAAACTCCTAGAAGAAACT